GCCCTTTTGCTTCGTCTTGTCGAGGATGCGCTGCGCCATGGTCTCCAAGTGCCCCTGGGGGGCGGTCCCGAGCTTGAGCTTCGCGTCCTCCAGCTGAGCTAGCTTGATGATCGACTGCTCCACCTCCAGCTTGCTCAGATGACGCTCGGGCGACCCCCCTTGAGCGTCCGCCAGCTGCACCGTGACGTCCCCGCCGATCGCGAACTGCAGTCGGGTGTACTCCTCGTTGTAGCACTTCTTCAGACGGAAGTGCCTGATCACTAATCCTAGCTCCGCCGCCGAGCTGATCGACACGAACTTCTCGTAAAAAAGGACCAGGGTTTGGTATGCCTGAGTCCCCAACTTCTGTAGCTTCTCTGATTCGACCATCGACTTGAACACGCCGCGCGCTATGTACAAATGTGGTGGCCCCAGATGGGGCTTCGCTGCCGCGATGGCTGCCGCCTCCGCGTACATTTTGCCAGCGCCTCGCCCTGCGACCACCAGGAAGCTCAGCGTCGGGATGACGAGGCACGCCCACTCCGACGCCGCCAAGTCCCTCAGCAGCTGCGCGTGCATGCACGCCATCTTGAGCAATATCGATATGGCCTGCTGCATGTCTCGAGCCCGAAGGGCCCCCTCGACCTGCTGAAGACCGTCTTCTGCCTCGTCTGCTGCGTCCCCGAGGTTGGCCTTTTTTCCCGAGGGTGCTCCTCCGAGGTCCTCGCCGTCGCCTGGCTTGCGCTTGTGCTTCTTGATCAGCATCTCCAGGTCCATGGACTCCGCGTCTGGTTGCGACATGCCGCGGTCGAAGCCGAGGGCGAGGGAGAGAAGGAGCACCCAGGGCACAGTGCGTACGTATGTGTATCTGAAGTTGTCGGAGATCTTGAGCCGTGAAGCTGCATACGGGGCAATCGAGTGAGAAGGGTTGAACAACTTCTGCCGCCGTGTAGCTACTGCGTCCAAGAGCGCAGCGATTGTGGGCATAAGATCTCATAACATGTCGCTGAGCGTTCTCCCGAGTACTGAGAACCTGGAGGCACCGAAAACACTGGTTCGTGACCGTGAGAAGTGCTGCCTCGTTTCGAACTTTGTGAACTCTGCCTGCGTGCAATAAAAGAGCTTTCATGCTGGTGAATGTGTCGCCACACCGCTGCCCCTCTGAGTTCTTCAGATTGCAGACGAACTCGCCAGGGGCGTCCACCTCCTCCTCCACCTCCTCATTCATCACTATACTCGGGGCCACCGAGGGCCCGCTAGGTGGAGCGATCGCTTTAGAAAAGTAGGTGGCCCTGATAACTGTGAGGTCAATCGAGGCCCAGTCGTCGAACTCCTTAGTGTAAAATAGACCCAAGAGAGGAAAATCTTCTGGAATTAAATCAGCGAGCTCCTCAGACTGGCCTCTGGCAAACTGGAGGTCCTCAAGTACCTGACGAGCCCAGGGGTTAGCCTTTTCGTGGATCGTCCAGTCGTCGTTCATGCTAGGTATGTCATTGATCGTGCCTAGTATGCATGCACGAACCTGCCTGTGGGCGCTAGGGTATTTAATCCAAGACTGATACCAACGTAGCCTACGGAGTCGCAGTTCGTCTGCCAAAGGAAGGATCTGCCAGTAGGCCCATACCCTCTGAGCGCTCCACCTCCAGCGCTCCCCGTCGTGGTCCTCAGTACCCTTGACCCCGAGACCCCTGCGCATCGCCCTCATCATGATCTTGTCACCCTCGACCGTGAAACTTTTATCTGGGACCCTCCCCTCCATCCCCGACAAGAGAGCACCTTGCACATACGAAAGGATGGCCATGCGCTTGATGCCGCGGGCAGCCTCGTGGACAAGAAAGTGAGAGATGATGCCGAGGCCTGTCCGTCCTGCCTGGAATCTTTTTCCTTTCTCAATCTGCAACGATCCCTGCACCGTCAGCCAACCGCCGAGGATGCGCATAAATCTGCCAAACTGCCCAGAGAGACGCAGAGTACCTGCATGCAGGAGGCGGCGTTGGGCGATGCTGCCTTTCCCAAAAAGCCTAGCAAGTGTGACCCTCTTGCCCTCGTTGAGCCCCACGCCGATGCCGTCCAGGGATGATGCTAACTTACTGCTGCTAACCTGTGCCAGTGCGGTAAGGTGACGTGCCTCCCCTCCTCCTCCATAGGGTTCAGGTCCTCTTCCTGGGATCACCGTCTTCGTGATATCGTCGGCGTACAGTGTGATGCCCGTGTCCGTGCGTGTGCCGTCCACCTCCTCCGCCTGTGAATAGGTGTACGAGCTCGTCCCCGCCCTCCAGCTCAGAAAAGCCTCCAGGCCCTGAAGATAGAAATACGGGAAGCCTCTAGCAGGATTAGGGTGTCCCATGAGCTCTCCAGAGGTAGGCCTGAGGGAGATGGGCCTGTCGGGTCCCATGATCTGCATCGCCGTCTGCATCGTGCGAGAGTGCTGGAACCTAACGTCCTCGGGGAGGTAGAGGGACTCGAGGCAATTCAAGATCGTCTCTCGTGACGTACTGGCGAAAGCGTTCGTGGCGTCTTCATTGATGATGGCGTGTGATAGCGATAACTTCTGGAGCCTCCAACTCAAGCAGGCCTGAACCGCGATGGCGTCTTCGCGCCGGCGGCGCCGAGCAAAGCCGCGACAAAAATACGGAAGTGAATCACGGTGGCGACGAGCCCGATTCCAAAGATGGGCGTTCCACGCCTTGCCCATCGGGCAGAAGAGATGTATCCAACGTTGTCCGAGCGGTCCTGGCTTGCCGCTGCCCTTGTCCAGGCCCACGATGTGAGAAATGTCGAAGACCAGTGGAGTGGAGGACGTCCGCCGAAAGGATCCGATGATGTCAAGCAGCCTTTCCCTGAAGGCCTGCGCCGTCGCAGGGGTAGGGCACGAACCCACTCCACCACGGTTGAACTTGCGCCACTGGTCGGGGTCGATCAGGATCAGCCAGAGCTCCGACGGCATACTCCACTCGGGTGTAGCTCGTCTCTTCGGTGCCCTGCGAAGCGCCCTGATGACGCCCGAAAGGTCCTGATCCGCCGCCTCTAGATCTACCATCTGCATCGTGTCGTAGCGCTGCTGATCCGTGCGGTGAGCCTCGTCCCCCTCGAAGGTGCGGTCGAAGCGCTCCGTCAGCTCCGCCTGCAGGTCGCAGTCCACCGCCGAGAGTCCGCCCTGCTGAGCGGGCAAGCGTAAGAAGTCGGCGATGTCCTGTGGTTCGCAGTTCTCCTCGCGTGCCTTGAAGTACTTCCGATGTCTGGGCCCTCGGCCCTTGCGGGCCAGGCGCCGAAGCAAAGTCTGCACGGCGAAGTGGTCGTGCTCCCTCCAGGCGGCGTTGAGCTCACCGACCAACAGGGAGTTGCGTTCCTTGGTAATCTGGCGTGACAGCTGCCTGAGCCTGAACGCGATCCTCGCCAATTCCAGTTCAACGTCCGCACGTGCCTCCGAGTCTCGACCAATATGGAGTTCACGCAGCCGACGGCGACGTGCCAAGACCTCCGAGCGCTGCCTCTCCAGAACCGACTTCTCAGCCATCGCGGGTGAAGGGCGTAAAAACTCCGTCAGCGCCGCCTCCCTGAGCAGTACCGAAATAGAGTTCCACAGCTCGTCCGTCGTAGGCCGTGAGCAGAGCCGTACCCATTCATCTTCGGGGATGGTCAGGATGGCTTCGTGGACCCGTTCCACCGCTGAGGTGCACTCCACCCCGCCTCGCAGGATGCGCATCATGGCATCGAAGTCCCAGCACTGCCGCTGAGTTGGACTGGCCTCGAAGCGGTAGCTGCATTCCATGAAGACGGGGCGGTGGTCCCCGTCGTCCAGGGTATTCACGGGCTGGAGCCGCCTCCCCGCAGGTCGAAGAACACGGCAGACTCGGACGTGAGGAAGCAAGCCCGTCGGAACGTGGATAAAGTCTATCCGCGACGTGTGACCCTGAGGCCCGTGAAAAGTTGGCCCCGCTGGGTAGTGCGTGTTGATCGCGCTCAGCGCCGTGCCCCTCAGAACCTGGTGCCAATGCTTGCCAGCGAAATGCTCCAACTAGGCACCACAAGGGCCCACGTGTAAGTCGGCTTCCCGTTCCCAGTCCCAGTCGGCACCGTGTGTACTGGTGTCCCGTGGGGCCGTGACGCACTCGCCATCTAGCGTGTCGTCTGCGCAGAAGCCCAGGTGGTCATTCAAATCGATGCCGACGAACGGTGTGCACCTGGAGCCCACTCCGTTGATGACCGACTTCGCCCAGTTGCACAGTCCCAGCACGATGTTCCGATACTGTGTACGTCCGCCGCGGAGCGACGGAAGAGTGGGGAAAGTAGAGCACCATGAAGAGAACGTCCGAGGTCTGTGATTTTAAACGTACTGCTCCGCCACGTCCACTTAAGGAGCTGGGCGGCGTGAAAATCTCACGGATGAAGTTCCTCGGGAAGCGCCTCTGGTGGAGGAAGATCGACACCCCACAACTCTTGTTGGAGGCCCTCGTCCACCCGAAACTCAGTTCCCAATGATAAGGATGAAGGAAGAGTGAGTGTGTGTCCTCTGTCTGGCGACGGGAGGTACCTGGCAGCATGATAGCTCCAATATTTTTGAATTCGTCAGAGACCTCCGATGCCCGCGTAGCCCCCGTCAGGAACATGGGATTATAAACGCAAGTCCGAAGTGTGAAGCTGTTGCCATCTTCAGCGTGGGGGCGGGTCCTCTCCATCGCCAGGGCGCCAATCACGCCCAGCAGCAGGAAGGCGAAGGCGCTCACGGCGAGGAGCCAGCGCCTCGCACGAGGGGCCCGACCCCCTCTCTCACGGGCGAGGAGAGCCCCTCGAGGGAGAAGCCATGCCGCTGAAACACCTGACTGTGTTAGGAAGTGTACTAAAGTGCCGCGGGAAAAGGGGGTGGTCTGGGCCGCTGCAGCGGCTGGAGGAGGAGGAGGAGGAGGAGGAGGAGGAGGAGGAGGAGGAGGAGGAGGCGGCGGCGGCGGCGGCGGCGGCGGCGGCGGCGGCGGCGGCGGCGGCGCGCAGCGGCGGCGGGCAGTGGCGGCGAGCGGCTCCACCAGGCGGCGCTCGCCCTCCTCCTCGAGCGCACGCCGCTCCTCGGCCTCCTGCTGCGGGGGCGGGGCACCGCCGCAGTCTGCGCCAGCGCAACGAGGTCGTAGTCAAACCAACCCTCCTCCACCCTCCTCCTCTGCCCCCATCCTCCACTCCTCCTCCGCCCTCCTCCTCCTCCCCCCCTCCCCCCCTTGCCCACTCCCCTGCCTCCCTCCACTCCTCCCCTCTCCCCCCTCCTCCCCCGACTCTCCATTCGCCCACCGCTCTTTTCCTCCGCCTGTTCCTGCTCCTGCTCCTGCTTCTGCTCCTCCTCGTGGGCGCCCGCGCGCGCGGTGGAGGAGGAGGAGGAGGAGGAGGAGGAGGAGGAGGAGGAGAGGGAGGAGCAACAGCAGCAGCAGCAGCAGCAGCAACACGGTGACGGGCAGGAGGGACCCCCCTGTTTGAGCACAGCGTGGACAGCAAAGGGAGCCTCAGACTTGCATGTGTCCCAGTTCCGCTGTCGAGAAGAGGAAAAAAAACTAGGAGCAGGATGAGGAGGGGACAGGGGAGGGTGGGAAAAGGAGTACAAGGAGGGAGAGAGAGAGAGAGAGAGAGAGAGAGAGAGAGAGAGAGAGAGAGAAAAAGAGAGAGAGAAAAAGAGAGAGAGAGAGAGAAACAAAAAAGAGTAAGGAGGAGGAGGGGCGGTCTGGCCTGGTGTGACATGCGACCCGTGGGAACAACAGCCTGCATAAGCTGCACAAGCCTAAACTTTCCGAGGTCGGCGCGGATTTCTTGCATAGGCGCTGGACCCCCCTTTTGGAGGCTTGAAAACGGGCGCCAACACCAACACAGGCACTGGGGGAAGATGGTCCTAGATTCTGGTGCTGGCTGGAATGTCCCAGCTACCTGGGCGGCACGATAATTGACACCACCACTGAGATCGGGATGATTTTCCCTCGGTGCAGGCACACTGCCGATATAGGTGTTGGTGTCAACATGTAGGCTTAGGTCGGGCATGTCCTCCTACAGGCGGATTTTGTAGGAGAAATTAAAAGTATCATAGCACCCCGCAATTGCGGATAAGAGTGAGGGGGAGGCTGCGGGCGACGCGGACGTCGTCGAGCCGGCGGACCTCGTGGCCCCCACCTTCCCTGTCGATGGCGCTCTCCTCCTCCTCCTCCTCCTCCTCCTCCTCCTCGTCGTCCTCCTCCTCCTCCTCCTCCTTTTCCTCGTCCTCGTCCTCGTCCTCGTCGTCATCGTCATCCTCCTCCTCCACCTCGTCCTCCTCTTTTTCCTCGTCCTCCCTCTCCCCCCTCGTCCTTCCATCATCGTCCTCCCATTGTCGTCCACCCCCTCATCGGCCTCCATCATCGTCCTCCCATTGTCGTCCATCATCATCATCATCCTCCCCCTCCTCCCCCTCCTCGTCCTCCTCCTCCCCCTCCTCCTCCCTCCTCGTCACCTGCTGCTCCTCCTCCTCCTCCTCTTTCTCCACATTCTCCTTACATCCTCTCTTCTTCCGCGTCCTCCTCGTCCCCTGTTTACTCCTCCTGCCTCCCCCTCCTTTCCCAAGATAACGGCAACGCAATCCTTTTTTTCACTTTATGCTCCCCGACTTCTCTGATCAAGGCAACTCGCCAGGGCAAAGTTGCTGGACGGGCTGGTGTGGATGCGCGGGGCTTGAAGAGGTCGTTGCGGGCTCAGACGGCATGCAAAAATCCGCCGCCGCGCTTGTGCGGCATTGGTTTGTTCAGTGAACGTGGTTTGGGTCGCGGGTGGGTCGCGGGCTCTCCACCTCCACCTGGAAGGAATGCAACAGCAGCCCGCCGCAGGCGCCGAAAAAATTGGTTTGTACACTGAACGTGGTCGCGGGTGGGCCGCGGGTCTCCACCGGGAACGAATGCAAAAGATGCCCGCCGCAGGCGCCGAAAACAATGTGGTTTGTACCCTGAACGTGGTTTGGGTCGCGGGTTGGTCGCGAGTTGGTCGCGGGGTGGGTCGCGGGCTCTCCACCTGGAAGGAATGCAAAAAAGCCCGCCGCAGGCGCCGAAAATGGTGGTTTGTACCTTGAACGTGGTTTGGGTCGAAGGTGGGTCGCGGGTGGGTCGCGGGGTGGGTCGCGGGTGGGTCGCGGGTGGGTCGCGGGTGGGTCGCGGGTGGGTCGCGGGTGGGTCGCGGGGTGGGCCGCGGGCGGGTCGCGGGGTGGGTCGCGGGTGGGTCGGGTGGGTCGCGGGTGGGTCGCGGGGTGGGTCGCGGGTGGGTCGCGGGGTGGGTCGCGGGTGGGTCGCGGGTGGGTCGCGGGTGGGTCGCGGGGTGGGTCGCGGGGTGGGTCGCGGGGTGGGTCGCGGGTGGGTCGCGGGTGGGTCGCGGGTGGGTCGCGGGGTTGGTCGCGGGGTGGGTCGCGGGTGTGTCGCGGGGCGGGTTGCGGGTGGGACGACGATAACAAACAACAGCAAACAACAGCAAACAACAACAAACAACAACAAAGAACAACAAACAACAACAACGAGAATCCGCACCGCGAAATCCCACTTCAGCCACGCACCCAGGGACAGTGAATGACCGTTCGGCCCCCTCACTCTGACTCACAGAATATTCGAAAACTGAACAAATCATAACAAAAAGTCGCCCCCGGACTATTTCTTCACTATTTGTGAATATTCCTCCTGTAGAGGGACATGCCCGACACAAGACGTGCGACGTCTTGATTCTTTCCATGCGCGGTCCGACCCCTTCCCCGTGAGCGACGGGCTTTTCATCCCGAGCCGTTTTTTGACGGTCCCGGGGCCCGGCGAGGGCCTCCAGGGGCCGACATCGGCAAAAAACCTCCGTCCTGAATTTTAGTACGACGCGATCACGTCTAGGATTTCACCCTGGCGCGCTCCGCGCGGCCCGCAGACGCGGGGCCGCCGTGTTCAGCGCCGGGGGCGGCGCGGCCGCGCGGGGGCGGCGGGCGACGGCGAGGGCCCGGCGCCGTTTCGGGAGCAGCGGTGCGCGGGCGGCGACATCGTGGGGCATCGCGACTGGAGCCCGCCTCTAGAGGCCTCCCAAATGTTAGGAGCAACTACTGGGAGGTCTTCGCCAGAAAGACTAAGAAGGATTAAACTCCATTGGGGGACTGCTACGCCAGAGTCGGCCGCGCATCAAACGGGATTAAGCCGGAGCCAGCGGGAACGAGCCATATTAGCCAGGATGGCCAGCTCGAGTCGAGGCGAGTCGAATCGCGCCCCGTTCAATAAAAACGTGCCCCAACGAAGGGGAAGGCGGCGGCTGCCAGCAGACAGGCGGGCCCGCCTCAAGCAGCGAGGCGAAAACATGGCGTGCGCCGCCTGGGCTCGGTGCAGGGTAAAGGCCGATTCGGAATTGGTCCACACTTCACCATTGCGTGCTGCCGCCTCCCAGCTATCCCAAAAAACTCCGACGAAGTTGGCGCTCCACCTGTTCGATAGCCGGCGGATGCGTCTCTCGTGCTTTGATCACGTCCAGGGCTACACAGTAACACTTTGCATGACCACTTGTGATTGTCGCTGGATAGCAATGCGCCAGCTGTTTTCCATCTTCTGGCTCTGTATTGCTCAATCCAAAATCGAACACCAACAGACTCCAAACGTTCTTCGATGTGACGTGCCGTGCGCTGTAGCGAATCAACCCATGGCTCCAATCCCACCAGCCCTCTGGGCGTAGGTGGTCTAGAGCAGATTCTCTTCCACCCCTCCCTCTTCCCCCTTGGGGAGGGGTTTACCCCTCCCCCTACCCCCTCCCCTGGACCTGGACGGGGGGGGCCGCGGGTAGTTAGAGCGTCCAAGATGGCCCAAGACGGCTCCAAGAGCGCCTCAGAGAACCCAAGATGAGCTCCAAGATGGCTCAAGATAGCGCAAGATCGCTCACGATGGCTCCTAAGATGGTTCCAAGAAGCCCAAAGACGGCCCCAAGATAACTCCAAGTGGCCAAACAGCTCCCCAAGGAGGCCCCGAAGAGGCCAAAATCGTCCCAAAACCTAAGGAAAATCAATGATTTTTGCTTTCTCGCCTTTTCGCTTCCGATGGCCATCCGAGGCCTGGAGATGGCTCCAAGATGGCCCAAGAGGGCCCCAAGAGAGCCCCAAAAGAGCCCCAAGACGGCCCCAAGAGCGCCCAAGAGCACTCCAAGAGCGTTCCAAGAGGGGTCCAAGAGGCGATTTTAGGGGCTTCCGAGGGGGGACGCTAATTAAACCCCCCCTCTTGTTTGATCGACTCCCTCCAAGATGGCCCCAAAAGCGCCCCGAAGGCTCCCCAGAGCGCCTCAAGAGGGTCCCAAGAGGCGCCCAAGATGCCCCAAGGCGCCCAAAAAGCCCTCCAAGAGGCCCTCAAAAGACCCCCAAGAAGCTCCTTCCCCTCCTCCTCCTCCTCCTCCGATTCTTCCTCCTTCTCCGTCCTCCTCCTCCTCCTCCTCCTCCTCCTCCTCTTCCCCCTCCTCCTCCTCCTCCTCCTCCTCCGACGACGACGACGACGACGACGACTCCTCTTCCATCCTCCCCCTCTCGGGGTCTGTGACAGCTTCCCCCGCCCTTTGTTATTCTGCATGCTCCCCGACTTCCCTGATCATCTCAACTCCCCGGAGCATCGTTTCTGGATGGGCTGGTGGGGATACGCGAAGCGTCAACAATTCCTCCTCCGTGTGTTCCTCATCTGTCCCGTCGTGCACCGGCATGCGTCTTCGACCCGAACCAATGACACGTCTCAGCATAAACCTCCGCTCCATTTCGGCCGTCAATGTCAAACACGCTGCGCCGCTGAGCGCACACGGGGTGACCATTGAGTCCAAACATCGCAATCTCGATCGGATCGGGTAATTGGCCTGTGTGATTTTCTTCGTGAACACGTAAAACTTCCTCCGTATGTAGCCCGTTATCCTATTAAACGGAGTGTATATCTTGGAAACATATTATCTGGCCTAAATATTTGGTCGCCTCGTCGCGCTTGAGAATATTGATCGGCATCTCTTTGAACCAGATGTTGTCTTGTGACGCCTCCCCACGTCTTGCCCGTACATTTGACATCACCACCGTGTTGTCCGGATGTAGCATTAGCCCGCA